CTGGAGAGGTAAAGCTACGGGGCAGGTCTGTCTGTGATCCCGAATCTGCTGTTTTGGGCCGTGTAACCAGGGCCCAGAAGGGTGGATGTTGGGGTCTGGAGAGCTAGGTGGGTCTCTGCTCTGTGAAGTCGGGGACTGGACGGGGCAGGCGTCCTCCCTGCTGCTTCCAGACCCCCCTCTGTCATCGTACTGCCGACTGTGCCCCGCCACCCCTCCTGGTTCTCCCCTTTGTTCATTGATACCTACCGCCCCTGGCCTGGCGGCCTCCTCTCTGCCCCGCCCCCCCACTCCTGCCGCTCAATCCACCGAGATGCCCGTGCACCGGCTGGCTCCTTCCTCAAGCTCCCCCTCTGCATCTGCCCGTACCCAGGGTCAGGGTCAAACCTTGCTTCTCCCCAACCCCCTCCCTGTGCCCCTCCGAGGTCCCCACATCCAGTCCCCACTCCCCCTAGTGCCCACGGTCACTCATCTCATCCACCGCCCCCTCCCCTCCTGGCCCAGGTGAGAGTCCAGGGCTGGCCCCGCCCCCCCACCCCTCTTGGCCTTGGAAGCCCCACCCCCTGACCTCCCAGGTGGTTCCAGGGGGCTACAGGGCTCACCCTGCCCCTCCTTCCTGTCTCTGCTCAGACGCCACTTCCTCCAAGAGGCCCCCAACCCCCTGATCCCCGTGACCCCTCTGCCCTCTCCATCCCCAAACTCTGCCTAATTCTTCTCAACAGACTTATTTTTAGGAACCATTTTCAATTTACGGAAAAATAGCGAAGATAGTGCAAGAGTTCCCATATTTCCACACCCAATTTTCCCCATTATTAACATCTTAGATCAACGCGGTACATTTTTTAAAATTAATTAGTTTATTTATTTTTGGCTGCGTTGGGTCTTTGTTGCTGCGCGTGGGCTTTCTCTAGTTGCGGTGAGCGGGGGGCTGCTGTTCGTTGTGGTGCGCGGGCTTCTCATTGCGGTGGCTTCTCTTGTGGAGCACAGGCTCTAGGCGCGCAGGTTTCACTAGTTGTGGCACGTGGGCTCACTAGTTGTGGCACGTGGGCTCTAGAGTACAGGCTCAGTAGCTGTGGTGCACGGGCTTAGTTGCTCCGCAGCATGTGGGATCTTCCTGGACCAGGGCTCGAACCCGTGTCCCCTGCATTGGCAGGCGAATTCCTAATCACTGCGCCACCAGGGAAGCCCCAACATGGTATATTTGTTATATTAATGAGCCAATATTAACACATTATTATTAACTAACACCCAGCATTTATTCACATTTCCTTAGTTTTTACTAGACATACTTTCTCCGTCTCAGGACCCCACCTGGGATCCCACATGATATCCTGTCTCCTTAGCTTCTCTGGGCTGTGACGGTTTCTCAGACTGTCCTTGTTTTTGATGACCTTGACGGTTTTGTGGAGGACTGGGCAGGGGTTTTGTCGGGTGCCCCTTTATTAGGGTTTGATGTTTTTTCTCAAGATTAGACTGCGGTTATGGGTTCGGGGAGGGAGGCCACGGAAGTGAAGTGCATTCATCCCATCACATCAGGGCACACACGACAACGTGATTGATCGCCGTGATGTTGACCTTGATTACCCGGCTGAGGTGTGGTTGTCAGCTTTCTCCACTTTATTCTGACTTATTTTTCTCCATAACATTGATCACAGCCTGGAAGTGTGTGTATTTGTTTGTCTTTTAATGTCTGATTGGAAGGTAAGGTCTTTGAGGACAGAGACCTCTCTCGTCTTTTTTATCCCCGGAGCCTGGCACATAGTAGGTGCTCAGTAAGTTAATTGATGAACTCAGTGCCTGCTTATGGAGCTCCAGTGCCAGGCCCTGAGCACTGGAGACAGAGCCACAAACGAGAGGTCATAGTTCCTGCCCTCACAGAGCTTAAAGTCCAGCAGGGAGATCGTTACAAACGAAGATGTGTTCCCATTGCAAACGTGAATGGGGTCAGGGAAAAGGCCCTTGAGTGCGGTGAGAGCCATGACGAAGGGATGTGGCCTGGGTTGGGTGGGGGGAGGTCAGAGGATGATACGGAGCTTGAGACCTGAAGGATGAGTGAGGGCTGGCCCGGCAGTGATGGAGGGGAGTGTGTTCAGGGTGGAAGAAGTATAGCACATGCAAAGGCCCTGGGGCAGAGAGGGGCTTGGGGATTTGAAAAACACCAGTGAAGAGGCAGGGTGCTTGGTGGATCTGTGGCAGTGGCCCGGGAAGGAGGGGTTTGGACAAGGGCGGTGGGAAAGGAGATGGCGGGAAGTGTGTGCAATTAAGAAGTGGGCTGAATGGATGAAATCCAGGCTCCTGAAGCTGGAGGATGGTGTCCTGTTTCCTTCTCAGAGAAGGGGCAGGTTTGAGGAGGGGCAGGGGCGGGTTCAGTTAGAGATGCTCATGGAACACCCAAGCAGAAGGATGGTGCAGAGGCGGGGCTGGACATTGAGGAGTTTCTGGGACGGA